TATATATGTAGTAAATAGGTAAGGCCCCTTTTTTCGCGGTTTTTCTCTTGAATGCGCATATGATTGAAGGCATAAATAAAGGTATTTCGCGGTTATATTATGGGAAGGTGTTACGGTCCCATATCGGAAAACCATCCCGTCAGGATTTCACTACAAGAAAACACTTCAATTTCAACGGTAAAAATTTTTGTTGGAAATTTCAATGAATATTCAAACTTAATTTTATGTTGTAATAAGTGTTGGATGGTTGAGGAATTTCAACAAATTTTTTTCGTTAGAATAGCTGCAGAAATTTATTTCCATAAGATTTTCCGTTGGATTTTAGCTATTCCAACGGCCGTTTTTCCCACGATTTTTATACGTGGGAATATCCGTTGGAATAGCTATTCCAACGAAAAATATAAAGAATTCCAACCCAAAATTTTCGTTGGAATGTAATAGTTTTTTTTGTAGTGTTTCTAACCGTTAGATCAACTATTCTCGACGGTTACATGATGATTTAACGGTTACAAACTCCGACGGAATGATTTCGTAACAGAACCGTAGCATTTCCTGTATTATGATGGGAGCATCAGCCCCTAATCCGCCGATGATTATTGAACTGGTCAAGTGCAATTTGGCTTGAAGCAAAATAAAATGTTTTAATTTGCATGCCTTTATTTGAAACAACGTAAAATTGAAGTCAAATGTCACTTTACGCTTCCTGCTGCTTGTGGTACGTATTTAAACTGTTTTAAGTCATGTAATAATAACTTTTTTTTTAATTATTTTTTTAATATCCAAATAAAAATAAATCACTTTGTTTATACAATTTTGGAAAATTTGTAAAAATAGTTGATGACACAAAAAATATGGGGACAGAACATAGTATGCGAAACCGTGTGGAGCCCCCACAAATTTTTCACATGAAAAAAAAAAAAAAAATAGCAATGAATATTCAATATAGTAACAACATAAGCTCCTCAACATGGGATATGGGTGACCCCCTTTAAAAAAATTCACTTCATATATTTTTTATATTATCCTTAAATTTAATAGTAACTGTTAGTAATATACAAAATAATAAAGATAAAAGCTTAATATATAATGGTAATATCTATTTAATATTAAATATATATTATTTTGTCATCATATTTTAAAATTCATTATGCCCTTTACTATGCAGAGTAATGGTGATGTTAAAGTCAACTCGTCCCTTTTCCTCATCATAATAAAATTGGTCCTATAATTTTGATCGCTTTCTAAAAAACCACATCGATATTGACCACTTTCAACTAGGTTCTATAATTTGACAATTTAATCAAATTTGGTCTATTTTTAATCAAATTTGGTCATTTTTTTAATCACATTTTAATTCATGTTTCGGATAAAAATGACCAAATTTAATTAAATTGTCAAATTATTGAACTTAATTTGAAAGTTGTCAATATCGAATAGTTTTTTAGAAAGTGGTCAAATTATAAGACCAATTGAAATTATGCCCTTTTTCCTCTATTTCTTTTTCTCAAAGCATAATGAAATTAGAATTATTTATTAATGAGCAAAGATAAAAAGCTATTGGTGGAATAAATTATATCAACATGACATGTGGCCACTCCTTTGACACCAGATCCAAGTAACGCGTATGCCTAAATTGATATAATTCAAATGATTACAGTTTTGTTAGCTTTGCGACTTTCTTCAAATCATGAGATTTGGCTCGGTGGGATAACAGTAGACGTGTCCAAAGGTCGGGCCAGTTCACGAGCCGAATCGGCGAGCCTCAAATGTTGGGCCCCAAATCAGCCCGAACCGGCGGCTCAATTTTTTTATTTAAAAAAAAAAAATCAACTACGACCTACCTTTCAATTTGGAACCGACTCGGAACTTTAATTTGGAGACATACAAAACTCCATATTGAGTTCTATGATACATCTTTCTTTAGAAACACATTTGGTCTTCTATATTTTAAAGACTTTTTTTTTTTGCTGTAAATATGTTTTTAGAAGCCATACAATTTAAAGAAAAATTCGCCATTTTAGATAAATTATACACGTTAATTGTTCAAAATTAAGTAGGTCTTCTCTACTTTAAAGACTTTTTTTTTCAAAAAAAGAAAAAAAAAATATACTTTTAGAAGTCATACATTTTATTCAAAATCAAGTAAAAGTGCAAGCAGCTTTAACAAATTGATATACACAACTTTTTGTGAATTTTATCAATTTTGTAAGAGAGAGAGAGTAGTTGGAGATAATGAATTTATGTCATCCGTAGATCGTAAATAAAATAACATAAAATGAAAAATGAAGGAAAAAAAAATACTGCCTCTTTTTTTTTTTTTTAAATATTATTTTGGTTTTATCAATAATAAATCAAATAAATAACTTTTTCGAATTTTTGTATATATTTTTTCATTATATCCTTATCTAATTAATAAATACATTACGTTTTTTTTTTCGAAACGACAAAATTTATAGATAAAAGTACATAAATACAACTACAAATCAACTAAAATTAGTAGCAACTATCTAGCCGAATTTACGGAAGTCTACACAGGTAGACATCAGAATTACGCTAACACACCCACAATAAAAATAGACTAAACACCAATAAAGACTACACACTCTCACATGAGAGAATCAAGCTTCAACGATGAAGAATAACACTCCCACAAGAGAAAACCGAGCTATCATATTCGCTTTTATCTTTTCTCAAAATATCCATAGGGTTATTATGAAAAAAAAAAAATTCTTTAATTACATTCAATTTCTCAAAATAATATTTATTGAAAAAATAGGGAGTATTAATTTCCACCGCAATTGTCGATATGAACCATCTAGAGACCACAAATTAAAAAGCATCAATGGTGAAAGATACCCAAGAGCGCTTGGATGAGATGACTTGGGTCTCTTCCAGCTTAACCAGTGGTCTTGAGTTCGAGCCCTGGGAATGCAGCAGTGTTAAAATTCTTGAGGGAGAGCTTTGCCGTCCTTGTGATCTTACCCGATTCGATTTCGAATTAGTCGGTTCCCCTGTGGATCCGGAAACCGGAAGGTCCCTGTACCAAAAAAAAAA